TCCATAGCAGTTTAATTTTTATTGTGTAACTATCTCAATTCAAGTTTTTTTTTCTTTCTTTCTTTCTGTTGCCTTATTGCACACATCATTAAGGGGATATGGAATTGGGAAACACACATTTAAATACAAATACCTTTATTATTAGAAACATATTACATATACCCTTATTGCACACATCGTTAAGAGAATATAGATTTGAGAAATCCATATCCAATTGCACTTAAGATTTCACCCAGCACACATTTGTTTTTTTCTGATAACTTGATCAAGAGGCAGCTAAAGGAAAATCCATTTCCTTTTAGCTCTCCTACCTTTTGATTTTAGTCTTCTAACTCATGTTCATTTTAGAGTGCTTATTTATAATACTAAAGTGTCAGTTTTATATTCAAGTTATCCAAGATCTCCACAATCATGGATTTTACAGTTTAGCAATAGATAAGTATGAGATATATTACTACTAAAGCATAACCTACCTACAAAAGTTGTATTTTAAAAATTGAAAGCACAAATGAGTGAAATCAATAATTTTAGCTGTATACCTTTAGTTGTATTTCTTCATACAAAAGAATGAATGTGTGTATGAATGAATAAACTAGAGTTTTGTGTAAATGAGTAGTGAGATAGCTAATGCTGAATCCTTCACATCAACTTGAACTTCTGAATGACATGCTCTTCTGGGTTTAGGGGAATCAAGAGTGTTTCTTAGCTGCTTTCTACTGTTTCCTGGTGTGCTGCCCCAAGAATGCCCTACCTGCCCCTTTCACATGGGGAGTTGCCAGGGGAAAGACCAGCTGCTCATACTTAGATTTTTTGCAGCTAGGACTCCCATATCCAATTCTCGCACCCTTTTCCTACCTTTTGCACACTCAGGGAGTAGGATGGCAAGCATGTACGCCCTGCTGCAGTCTTTCATCAAACACCACCAAGTTCAAGCCCTGTCTCAGTGCCATCTGCTTGGGGACATGGAGGATAATAAGAGTTCCTACTTACTGAGTGCCTGCTGTGAGCTAAGTATTTACATGTCTAATTTCAAATTCTCACACGATCCTTTAAGGACAGTATTAGACCCATTTTTATAGATGTGGAAAGTAAAACTCAGAAAATTAAGAAACCTCGCCAAGGTTATCTGATGCAAGATTTATTATATTTGGGCCTTTCCCCTCTTTGCTGTCAGTGGAAGACAATTCTCTTTCCTCAGAGAAATATATTCACATCTTCTTTGATTGACTCTCCACTTTCCATAACAGCCCTCCCTGGAGAGCTGCTCTCCTACTCTCATCCCAGGCTGGTGTCCTGAGTTTCCCACAGTGATTTGGCCCTTGCATTAAATTTTCTGGCTTCTTGTCTGTTAGACTCAACTGATATCTTAAAATATCTGATTAGTTCTTAATAGTGTTGGCAGGTTAGAATCATATTTTTTAAAAGGAAAGTATATGTAAACATAACTTTCTGAATTCACTCATTGAGAAAACATATTTTTCCCATGTTATATAGACAAACTGGACAATGAAATGACCACCTGTTAGCTGCTAATGATGTTCACATGCCTTTTAAAAAAGTAATTCTGGCTTTATCTGTCTACAATCTTGGCAGCAAAACTTATGGGAACATCAAGGGCACAGGAAGCCAAAGGCAGAAAACTGACAAAAAGTTTGTGCTTAGACTAGTAATAAGGAAGAGGATACTGTGAGTCTCTGATTCAACGTAATTATTTAATCTCCAGAGGGTGACATGAAACCAAATGCATGTTTTAACAAACTAGTTTGGGTGTTCAAATCTAGGACTGAGATCAGAGGGGTTTCACACAGGGTATTTTCTACTTGAAAAAATATTTTACAAAGCATCAAATATAAAATATATCAATCACTATTTCAAATGCATGGTCTAATTTGATATTGTGTGAGTGGATCAATCATTACGCCTTCCAAATGAAAATGAATACGTACATATTGAATGAACTTAATTCAAAGTAATAGATGGATATTAACCATCCTACATGGCAAAAAACATACTGGCCCCCCAAAAAAGGCTTACAACTATACGTACTCACCAAGACTCAGAAAAGAAGCATTTTCTAAAATTAGAGCTAGGTTAAAGATTAAATTATTATTTTAATAGTGAAATCAAAATGGAAAGAAAACACGCAGTTTTAATTATTTTTGCCAATAACTTTTTGGGTCCTGATTCAAGTTTGCTGATTTCCATGAATCTTATTTTTAACATAATATTTCTATCCAAGTCTAAGGTTGATATAAACTAAGCTTACCTTTTACTTGTTCACTTTATTACAGTGTAATGGTTAAAAGTACAGGCTCTAAAATAAGACTGCTTCGGTTTGAAACATGTCTCCATAATTCATCTTCGTACAAATTACCTTAGTTCTTCATGCCTCAGTTTTCTCATCTATAAAATAGGGTTACTAATAATATCTACCTCATAGGGTTGGTGAGAGGATTAAATGTATCGCTGTAAGACAAGCACTTGGAACAGTGTCTGGTGTACAGTAAATGTTTTATATTTTCTAGTTTTTTCTTTTTAACTTCAAAGTAAAAGGTGAGTGTGAAGTCATTGTACAATTAGTTACATTTTGAAATGAATAAATCATGTACCTCTTTCTTTGAGACAGAGTCTCCCTCTATAGCCCAGGCCAGAGTGCAGTGGTGCAATCTCAGCTCACTGTAACCTCCGCCTCCTGGGTTCAAGCATTTCTCGTGCCTTAGCCTCCCAAGTAGCTGGGATAACAGGCGCCTGCCACCATGCCCTGTTAATTTTTATATTTTTAGTGGAGACAGGGTTTCACCATGTTGACCAGGCTGGTCTCGAACTCCTGACCTCAGGCAATCCACCCGCCTTGGTGTCCCAAAGTGCTGGGATTTCAGGCATGAGCCACTACTCCTGGCCTCCCTTGTTTTTAAGCAGGATTGAGTTTAAGCTCAAAGTAGAAAAATAAATTGTCTTTTCCAATTAAAAATAAATAATAAAGAGAAGTAGTTAGTGTTCTATCTGTAAGATTTTTTTTTTCAGCAGTATCTTAAAACTTTTTAAGTGACTATTACTCAACAGAGAATTTATTATCCTCAATGTTTCTCAAATACATTTTTGCAAACCTTTATTTTCTCCATATATATCTTTCTTCATGTTTTAGAAACATCTTAAGGTCTCCTCCGAACCACAAATTGTATCTAAGATTCCAGATCTGCTAGTCATTGCATCACATATTCTTTTATATGGACTACAAAATGTTTATATGATTAACACTAAATATATACTTCCAACTGAATCCCAATTCTGAAATCTTACCTTATGTCTCAAACCATGTGAAGCAAAAGAAGACAATGATCAGGAATGAAAGGAAAATATTCTTTAAATGAAATAACTCTAAACTGTACCATTATATGGAAAAGTCTTTTGAAATGGCATTAACTCTCCACAAATACACCATGCATTTTCTGGACATTAACATTGATACTCTTAAAATCCAACTTAGCATAACTGGCTAAGTAAATGCATCTAGCAGTTGTTGAAAATTATGGCATGGGTTTTTGCATAAAGACCTAATTTCGAAAGGGTGCTTCTACTCTTAAGTTCTCATGCAATTTCTAGGTTTGTAGACTTCAGTAATTCAACTCTGGAAAACATGTTGTCACATATAAATAGCTTCTCTCTTCCCTATCATGTGTGTATGAGTGTGTGCATGTATGTGTATACCTATACATATATATCTTTCTTAGTGCACACATGTGTATATGTACATATGTACATATATGTATATATTATATATATTTTACATATATATATATATTCCATTAGCAGGTCTTCTCAACTTACTACATTCTCCTTAAATTCTAAAGTTTAGGATGTCAGTATATTGATCTTTGGTCAGAGGGAAATAGCAGGAAAAAAATGTTGATTTGCATAATTGGGGTCAGTCTGGTAGAAGATCCCCCCAAAATACTATAATTTTTAAGACTTTGGGAAATAGGTTTTCTCTGGTTCCAAAGATGTCTACCTTTTCTGAGACAGAGTCTTGTTGTGTCACCAGTCAGGCTGGAGTGCTGTGGTGTGATTTCAGCTCACAGCAACCTCTGACTCCCTGGTTCAAATAATTCTCCTGCCTCAGCCTCCTGAGTATCTAGGATTATAAGCACGTGCCACCATGCCCAGCTAATTTTTGTAGTTTTAGTATAGATGGGGTTTCACCATGTTGACCAGGATGGTCTCGAGCTCCTGACCTCGTGATCCACCCACCTTGGCCTCCCAAAGTGCTGGGATTACAGGTGTGGGCTACCTTACCCAGCCAGATGTCTACCTTTTCTTTCAGGAGGTTGAGACTCAAATCAACTCTGTGAGATATGTGTAACATATTTTAATAACCCTTTTCATTGAGGAAGAAGCAGTTTGGGGAATGGTTAAGAAAGATAGCTAAGATCGCTATGTAAGTAATGAGACCATTGTTCTTACTCTAAATTCAATTCTTTCAGAATACTAGAACTAGGTGTGACCTTGGAGAACATCTAATTCACATCTCACATTTTCTATCAGCCTCTCCGCAAGCATGTTTCTAAATGTTTCTGGTGGTCTGAAGGTGTGTTAAGTGGCATAGCCTGTTGACTTAAGTTAGACCACGCTGGTGGTCACTCACACCTTTTAATGTATGCAAATAAAATAGTCAGGATACCAGGGTTGGAGACGCTTGACATTTCCCACTCTCAATATCAATCACCAATCTGAACACCATGGCTATTACTCAGAGATTCAGAGGTTTGCTGTAAGCAGAGACCATGACCTTGGAACAATTATTTTCTCAAAAGGCATTATCAACAATGATGTGAGCAAAGTGCCCAGACTGCCCTCCAGTGCATGAATCCTTGGCCAGGAAATGGCTACGAATCTTCCATGAGTGTGATGAGTTTGGCTTAAATCTCATTTCAATGCATTTATATTTCATAAGCACTGCATTTAGACAAACTTAAAATGAGCAAGTCAAAGAAAATACTCACTTAAAGATTTTCTGTGCTCTGGTTTCTGTTCTTTTATATCACTGTCGTAGTGACTTAGCAATTCAGTGCTGGAGGATCTTTGGATTTTGAATAATTCCAGGTTTCTTGATGGACAACTTGAATCCTTTGGCTGGAAACAGAAAATAATTAGACTGAATAATTTTACTAGAAAGAAAGGATTCTCCATATAGTTTTGTGTTCTATTTTGGTGTTTATGAGGAAATTTGAAGTAAGGTAATTATTTGGGGATAGGTCTTCTTTGCTAAGCTCGATACTCTAATAATAGTTTGTATATGTGTATGGTACTTATTAAATGATAAGCACTATACATGCATTAGTCCAATCAGTCATTACAATTCTATAGAGTAGGTGGTATTATTATTATCCTTATTTTCTTCATTAAGAAAATGAGGCCAAAATATATAAGTAATTTGCCTAAGGTCACACAGGTAGCAAATGATAGAAGTAGAATTCAAACTCTAGCAGTCTGGTCCCAGAGTCCATCCTCAGTGACAACAAACTCTGCGTATATGAGTGTGTATGTATGTATGTGCACTCACACACATTCACACGCTCACCCCTTTAAGGGGAATACACTGATAACAGGAAAAACTACATTTGTTATTTTACTTTCTAAAGTGTTAGTCCTAAAATGATTTAATGAAAGCCTGCAATTAAGTATCAAGAAAATCACACAGAAAATCTTTTACTATCGTGTTGTATTCCGTATTAAGAATATTTCTTTCTCAAAATTTTGCAAATATTAGTGTCATAAAATTAAATGTTGTTCTAGACACTCAGCATGAAATGAGTGGTTTGAAATAAGTTCATTCTTACAAAACATACTCTAACTGTATGTTTTAGGATAATTTCATGAAGTTCTAGATATGTAATTTTCATGAGAAGAACAATATAGCTTAGCTAGAAGAATAAAAATAAGTACAAAGGGTTATTATTTATTGGTATTATAACAGTGAGTCTTAAATATGTTGATATTTATTTTCAGGAATATGTACTACAGACTGCATATACTGAAAATGAAAAAAAATCAGTAGTTATTAAGTGCTTGTGTGCTTTTTACAGCCTCCAGTAAATGAATGTCCATGTTATTTCAGAAAAAAAGAAAGAATGCATTATATTTTTGAAAGAGAGAAATTAAATGACATTTAGTTCTACAAATCCTATCTGCTGAAAAGGTTTTTAGTGGATTCTATTTAAAGTAAAAGAACTTAATATCTCTCAGTCCATAGGATCTATTTAAATGAGTGTGTGTGTTATATGCCTGAGCAGTAAGATTTAAATGACTACATTTTAATTAATAAAGGTAACAGCCAAAACAAATACATACCAATCTGTCAATTGCATTTTTGATAGCGTGGAACCAATCCAATATGATGAAGTCAATATCTGACTGTAGAAGGAACTCATTTCCTGATACTGTTGTGATCTGAAAAAAAAAAAAAAAGAAAGAAAAAGAAATAGACAGGTAAAGAAACTATGTAAGATAGATCTCTTACATGTAAAAATCCTTTTTTAAAAAACACAGTTTAATAAACTGAAATATTTTCTTGTATTCCAGTAATTGTCTTTCTGGGAACTGGGAGCATTTTGAACTGCTCTCTATAAACTGTTTTTCATGTCATAACAAATACATTATTGTTTTAATAATAGAACGATTAAGTCAGAGTAGGGCTAGAGCTGAATTACTCCAACTTAAGGAGAAATAAGCCAGGAAGTTCAGAGAACTGCAGACAGTACACACTTAAGTCAGAACCCGCAGAAAAATGCACCCGGGTGTGTCAGAATTCATTCTGCACGTTTGCTTCTTTCCTGTCTGTCTTTTTCAAATCTAATAGTATCTCTATATTTGATTTCCTTTTATGGAGAGCTCTAAAACAGATTATTTACCAAAAAGACTAATTACAGACTTCCAAAAGGTCATTCAGATGAATAACATTTATTTCTACTTTCTTATCAGAGAACTATAGGAAAGTAATGAAAAAAACAATTTCCCCACAAAAGGAGTATATTAAAATAAAAGTTCATTTACATATTTGAACCTCTCTGGGAGAGTATTTACCAAATGAACATCCAGGTTCCTGACTCTCAGCACTGCTAAGTAGTTGGCAATGTTTAGCTTGTAACTGTCCATTTTTCATTACAGTAAATCTTTTTCTCCCCAGACTTGTGAGAAAAGGATATGACCCTATAGAAACAGGGCAATACTCTTAGTTTCACACGTAACGGGCTACTTAGAGAAAAAATTGATTAGAGTGGGTGTGGACACGCTTTTTGTATTTGGCCATCCATCTGAACTGTGAAGATTTTCCCTTTGTATTATTGACTTTTTCTTGCAACAGGAAGATGAACATTTCCCAACTACCGTCACACAGAGTTCAGAGGTTTAGAGGACTGACATTTCAAAATACTCAATCAGGAGCCAGCCACCTCTTCTCAGCCTTCCTTGCTCTAAACAGGAGGTGAACGCTGAAATGTGGCACAGGTTCAGAAAATCACAAATCATGCTTTAGGCCATCTCTATAATTCTGTCATTAAAGTGACAATTATTACCCCAAATGGCTCATTCTGAAGGTTTCAAGGATTCTCATGGCTACATTTGATGACAATGATTTTGGGGTTTTGAAAGAAATCTGTTACATATGTGCATATGTAACATGTGCATATGTGTATTTGTCATTTGTTTTTAGGAAAACTCTATAGAGATTCAACATTAATCAGTACTGCAAAGTAACCATTCTTGATTGAGATGGGTTCCAATATCAAATGTTTTCTCTCTAACTATAAGGAGAACTGTTTAAAGTGTATGCAATTATAAGAAGTGAAAGATTGAAAAATAATAGGATTTAATTGCCCACACTAGAATTTGACAGATTACTGGGACCAATCATTTTCTCTCTTTTTAAAATGAAACTGTATATAAGAATAAGGATGGCTCAAAACAGTTTCCTGTTTTATGCATCCAGTAAAAGACAGCTAAGGTGATGTTTTCCTAATTATCTGAACACCATTGCAATGTTCTCTACTCAGATAAAGTTCCAAATATTTACTTTATAGAGTGTTGCCTAAGAAATAGTAATCTAAAAATGGAAGGTCATTTCTAACACAAGAAAACTAGTAATGTCCTAGACTTCTACCTTCATCCTAATCTGTAGTTAAATATTTTGATTATGAATGTATTTCTAACATCATAATTTGTTAACATACACTAAGACAAATGAATTAGCCAAAGCACAATGTACAATATTTCTCTGCCAGTATAAATAAACCATTATTAAAATTATAAAAAGAAACAACATTTAAAAAGTATGAGAAACAAACATAATTAGATTTACTATGTTATGAGGGTTTACGAAAGAGCCAACATAGTTCAGCTTTCAGTCTAGTAAATTCAAACAGTGATAAAATATAAGTACTTTAGCAGTACATTTGCATTTTTGGTGCATGCTATGCAATGCAAAGGGGATCTTATATTGCTAACACAACCAAAAGCAAAATGTATTTTAAAAGTTCCTTTGTCCAAATATATTACTGCATTAATCATAATCAGTGATTTATGAATTCATTTTGAGAAGTTAGATCAGAGAGCTATATGAATGCAATTCATTCAAAACATCCTATCAGAGAGATACAGTTCACATCCTTTCCTCTGTCTTCCCACTAATCTTTCGAGTTACCAGGCAGTCTGGAGAAGTCTGCTACTGCTCTCTACAGTTTAAATGCATCCACTTCTTAATTACAGTCAGTAATTGACTTTGTTCTGCTCTATTCCAGTCACTCACAGGAAAGTAGTTTCAAAATCTTTGACTGGTAAAGCCCATTTAATTCAGGTTCCTCAACCCACTTTTTTACTTTACCTCTTTAGGATTTCTGATAAATGGTTTGCTGAATCATATTTGCACTTTGAACAATCGAATTTCCAACACTCTTGGGGAAAAAAGACATCAGTAAAGAATGTTAGCTTTGACTAAACCTTTTGATTGAACAACTTATGACAATCTAAAATGATGTATAACAGACATAAAGGCTTTGATATTAAGCCGTGCTAATGTACTCTTTCTATATGTTTTGCCTCCATGACAGATGCTGGGGTGAGGGGATGAAGGAAGAACTTACGGAAAATATAACAGGTTTAGATAAGAGCTGCTGGTCTCCATCTTGCTTAGAAACCTACATTAGGTAAATGTTTCTTGAAATCCCCTCATCACCACCATGTTGTATTTTGAAGGAATATATCAGGGCACCAAAGTAACCTTAATGAAGTGTGCCAGTGTCAACAATAAATATCTTTAAGTATCCATCTGGGGAAATTTGTCTTGAACTTTTTCATACTAAATAAGGGTCCATCTGAATTCTTGCTGGTAAGAAATATATGCCCAGGAAATTATTGAAGCGTGTCCACTGAGCAACATGCAGAGTGGGCACATTCCTTAAGGTTTTTGGAGATTAATTCAACAATAGTTTTCACATGGGCTTAGAATAGTCTGTGTCCTTGTTACGATTCCTCTGAATATGGAGGCAGGTGGATGCAAGTCCAGACTTCACTGATGAAGAGCGAAGAAATTTGTGTTTTAGATTTTAATTAAATGGAGTTTTGTTATGCTAATTTAAAACATCTTAAAAGAGTTTTAAGAAGTAGCGTTTATGTTGATTTAAATATTGTTCTTTTAAATATTGTCAATTAAATAACACTCTCATCAATATTCATTCTGGCAGTAAGAATTTATGCTATTAGATTTTAATTTAAATGAGAAATTAATGTGTAGAATGGCATTTATACAAATTTCCATACTTTTGTTTACTAGAATATAAACAAAACCTTTTTTAGAACTTCTTTTTTCTGATTATAAGAATAATACTTTATTGTGTAGAACTTGGGAAAAATAAAGATAACAAAGAATCAAAATTATGCATAGCTACACAAAGTAAACATTGTAGGTATTTTAGTTATTGCCAATCTTTTATAAGTAATAACCAAACAGAAATAATGATCAATGTTATAGATACATCTCATCAGCAAAATATATTTGATGGTAAAATATTATCAGCTTCTTTTCCAAATGACTTCAGATGCACATGTGGAGATTACCAAAGATGTAAGAGATAACGAGTGACATGGTACTTCCGTCTGTTTGAGAGCCCCACCCTTCCGATTGCAGAATAAATCCCACAAATAATTTCATGTACAGAAGAATAGAGAGGACGCATTCATGACAGAACATACTATTAATCATTAACAATGACTGATTAAGCATCCATTAAGTACAAGGCACATTGCTAGAAGCTAGGGAGACACAGCCCCCACCCTCAAGAACTCACAATCTGTTTGGATAAAGAAGACATATGCATATACAGATAAATAACAATAGAAAATGGCTCCTCCTGAGTCCCAATGTGAGTGGCACACACAATGCTCATATCAAGATTTCAGAGGAGTGAGTAGTTACTGCAGGCACATTTACATCATGAAAGTATGCATAAAGTGGTGGTCATGATATGTTATTCTTTAAACGTTGATTGTATCAGAACTTGAGTATATTAAGGATATGAATACCACCACTTGGTATGCAAAGTGATATCAGCTTTAATGATCTCAAAGCACGTAATAAACATTCTCCAAATGCAGCTTTCCTCCACTATCATAAAGTAATTTTGCAAATGAAGAAAATGAAGCAAATGAGGAAAATGAGAATGCCATTCTATCAAATTGGCATCATTTTAAATGATAGAATTAAGAGATTACAAAGATCTTGATTTCTAGTTCACTAGTTCTCAGCAAACAGTTGTATACAGTCAAGGACTGTGTGTTTGAACAGGAAAAGGGCCGTGATAATTTGGTTTCAGTCATGAAATTTGGAATAGCAACTTTAGACAAAGTTGCTTCTTTCCTTGCAGTTAGACTAAAGATAGCCCGATTTTAAAAGATCATGCAAAATCCTAACTCTGATTTTTCTTTCCAAAAACAAGCACTCTCTTGCTATGAAAAAATATATCTAAGACTGAATTGGGTTATCTAAAACTCCTTCAAATCCTAGAAAAGACTAAAGCAATCCTACACTTGAACCTTTCACATTTTGATTAGAACCTAAGGAGGGATTATTCCATCTTAATGAAACTGAAATGGTATGTAGGAAATGTATAATAAAATATGCCCAATATCCAAAGAGCCCTAAAACATGTTAAATAATATGGCTACAGTGGTTCTAGAAATACATAAATAAGAGGAATGGAATTTAATTTCTATTATGTTTAGAGATACTTTGGATAATTTTTATATTTGAATTAAATTAAGTAAAAATAAAAAGTTGTATCAACATACACTGAGTTTATTTGAAGTGAATATGAATTATTTTTGTGATAATTTTGTCCATATCTGTATTCAATACTCCCAGCAGAAAATATACATGATAGGGAGATATTGAGACCTAA